GGCATTACTCTGCCTGCTACAGATGACCACTATCCTGCCAAAGCCAAGAGAATGAAAAGTTTGAAGATTTCAAATATTGCATAGAATCTGCAGTCTAAAGAGATTTGCTTGAATTTAATAATCAGTGACCTATGAGATATCTCTTAAAAAAGAAGCAGGGCTACAACTCAGAATAATTTATTAATATTTTTATGTTAGCTACTCATTTGTGATTATAGTTACATATATATATATATATACATATATATTTCTCCCTTAAGGAGCTATTCTGTTTAAATTGCCCAGAATCCTCATAAGCTCAGGTTAAAGTAAAAAAATATGCAGTCCCACTCAAGTACAGCAGCTCTGATCATTGAAGCATTCAGAATCCAAGTTCCTACCAGTCCCTGGAATGGAGTCAGTCCTGATCCTTGTGGTCCAGGTTGCCCCCACATTCCAGGAGGGGAAGAAATGATGTAATGTCAATGAAGTGCAAGGGAAAAGCTAAAGAAGTTATTCTAAGAGATCACATGGGTGTAAACTAGGGTGCTGGACACAAGGGCAGGTCACTTTTATCTTGGATCCAACAAGAGATGCCTGGAATAGTTGAAGGAGTTGGGGGGATTGTGGTTCATTAGGAGGCATGAGAAGGGAGTGATAAGCCTAGATTTAAGGAAGTGTTTGTTGGTTGTCTCTGAGAACCACAGAGGCTGTTGAGAGAAGATGTGGATTCTGTTGAGGAAAGATTGAGTTTCAAGATGTAGAGTGTTCTCTCTCCAGGTGCAGGTGTCCGTCAGACTTTGGAAAGGAAGAGGTTGTCTTTCATCCAACACTGGAGAAAGTGCCAGTCAATGAAGTAAGAAAAATATTGAGATGGAGAAATTTTGAGGTGGCTCATTTCCAACAGTCTTAATATGATTCAAAATTATGAGGCATGACTGTCAGCAGAGAGCAAGACAGGTGGGTGGAGGCCCAAGTGCTTTGGAGCTTGTAGAGGAAGGTGATTTATTAGGCTGTGGGAAGTATGAGAAGGAAATGGGAGACTTAGGATAGACTGTGCATGAAGCATCTGCTTGAAAGGTGGCCTTATCTCTAAAGAAGCAGCTCCAGTCTGAGAGTCCTTCAAAACAAGAGAAGCAAAACCAGAGCAAAGGAGAAGTCCAACAGAAGTGAAGCATCAACAGAAGTGTATCCTAAGAATCTCACCATGGTTTATAGTCATTATGTTGTATAACCCTTTGGGGTCACGTCAGACAGAAAGTACTCAGCTACTCCAGGGGAAGCAGGGAGGTTATTTAATTTCTTTTGCTTTCAGAAACATGGATTTCATATTTTTCTCTAAGGGCTTGAATGGATCTTTTTCTCCCAAAATAGTCAGTAAGCTAATTTTTAAAAAGAAATGCCATTTAGCAAGATGCATTGTGGCTTAAAACTACTAATGAGTTCTGGGAAAGGAAAGTAATATTTAATTTTGAATCTTATGTTTTTAAAAGCTAAATTTGAATGGTGCAAAGTGTGAATATTTTGTTTCTTTAGGGAGGATATGTGGAAAGGGTTTGTGGTTTTGAGATGGGAGAGGATCTTGTGGAGCCATCGATGTCTAAAGTTTTTAAAGAGAATTTAAGCAGTAAAAAAAAAAAAAGAAAAAGAAAACCCACCAAATTATGTTGGTGTAAATCAATATACTGTTTCTGATTTTATGCACTCAAATAACGTGAGAGTTAGTACTTGTCAAGTGATTGTAAGAGAGAGGAACAGAGAGGAACAAATTCCAATGTTTGGGGTGTCCATCCCTAACTCCCGGAATGGGGACTCGTGGCAGCTACGGGTTGAGTGGAGCCTGGGCAGGGTCTGGGTCTCTTTGGCTTTTGGTCTCCGCTCAGCTTATGCTGTCTGCTAGTAGGACAGATAGTATATTGCCACATGCTAGTCAATAACTTCTCTTCTCTCTCTTAGCTCTCCCTTTTCTCATTCCCTATGTAAGTAAATCCTTTTAAATATTTTCATTTCTGTGTGTCAGTTTTTGGGTCTTGTCCTACATTTTTAAGTGAGTGAATGAGGACTCCCAAACCTGGTCACGCCTTTACCCCAGGCTTGCCCTGTAACATGATTAATGGAGCTCTTATCTAGGAAATATACATCTGGTTTAATGTTGGAAATGGCTTACTGTAATATAAAACATTAAAAAATTGAATAAAGGGGGAAATGTTTATCTCAACAGACACTATAAATATGTTTGATAGCATTGCATATGTGTTCTTTGTTTTGAAAAAGAAACTTTACAAACTAGCAATAATAACTTCTATGAATTTGGTGAAAATATTCATACATGAACTCGAAGATATATGTGTAAGGATGTTTATGCAGATATCACAGGCAAATTGATTGGAAAGAACTACGCAAAATTATAATCATTTGTGGACAGTGGAACCAAACTCAAAGCGTTCATTCTCTTGGTGAGTATCTGGGTCAAATAAAAGACACTGCAAAGATGGACCACACAAGCAACTGTTATTTCCTTGTGACAAGAAAAGGAGATAGTAAAAAAAAGCATTTCTAAAGAAATTGCCTCTCAGAGGAGACAGGTAAAATTACATAGTATTATCTAATATGGGAGTCTTAGTATGCAACCATGGGGCACCCAAGACCCCAAACTATTAAGGGGTGCATGCTTCTAAAAGGGATTCTGCCATCTGCTGTACAGAGATGAAGGAAGCAGAGTCTTAGTGTGGTCTTTGGCAGAATTAGTGTGCATAGTAAAAGAAGAAAGAATATTCCTAATAAAACCCTCAAAATTACCCATCCCTTCATAGGCAAATGCCCAACCAAACAGGCTCGGCCCAGAGTGGGGCCAGTGAAGCGCGAAAGCTTGTCACTAGTGTAAGATGCCTCCTTGCAGGAAAGGGCAAGAAAGGGGAAAGGCAGGTCTGGGACAAAGGGAGCAAAAGCAAAGTTCAAATCAAGGTAGCAGCTGCCATTGTCTCTGTCAAGAATAGCCTTCCCACATGTGTCTCACCCACGCCTCTTTCAAGAGTCTCCACTTGACTTTCCTCCACACATCTCCAAGTCCCTCCAAATCCCTGGGTGCATATTCAAGTTGGAGAAGCAAGAGTCCCAGAACCCACCTGCCTTCTGTATTATATAGCTTCACCCGACTACTCAGCTTCCCCCATAGTTCCCAGCAGCGCCCCTGCTCAGGAAGTCTGGGTCACAGCACACTGAGCCCTGTAGCCCAAGAGGGCTGCAAGATAGTGGGGGATGTTGAGGAGAGGGCACTTCCCTGTCACAGAAGTGTCACTGCTACAGGAGGGGGCCTCCAGGAATGTCTTTGCTGGTGCTGTTTTCTTCCTGTGCGCAAATCTCGGGGGTCACTTTGTGTGTTCTAATCTCTTTTCACAAGGACACTCTTTAGATGGTTTTAGAGCGTACCTCATTTTAATGTAGTCACCTCTATAAAAGACCCTATCTCAAATACATTCTGAAGGATGTGTTAGGGGGAAAAGGATGTCCCAAAGCAAATTTCATATAGGCTTTGTGGACTCCACCCCCACCCCAGGTCAAAGCCAAAGACACTGGGAACTCCAAATCCCATCACCACCAAAGGGAAGGTGGCTGGGACCTGAGGGTGGGGTTAAGCAGCCAGGTGGATACAAAAGGCAGACACGTGGGCTTTGCGGGGCTCCCCCCATTTTTGGCTCTCCGCCAGCTCGCAGCGCCCCGGCCAGCTCTGAGAGTGACTTTGGGTTTCCAGGTCGTCGGATCGGGTAGGACGCATTAAAGACTTTATTTCCCTATTTTCTCCCTGAGTTGTACATTTTCCTTATTTCCTTTTCTCTTGTAAATAAACCTTTTATTAACCCTTTGGCGTGTGTCTGTAGTAGAGTATTCATAAGTCCCTTTAAAGCGCGCGGGTGAGGACCCACAGCCAGGAACCCGTTTAATATCGGCGTTGCTCTATAACAGATGGACTTCAACACATGAATCAGGACTTGCGAACATGAACTTGGGGGGGCGGGGGGAGAGGTCACAATTCAGCCCATAATACAGTCCTGTAATGGTGTAACTTGTAAGAAACATAGTCATGTGTGTTAGGCATTAAATGTTCATGTTCTACCCTGAAAGTCAGTCCAAGATCACTGAGTGAGTTATCTGGGACGTTCTAATGCAGTGTCATCGGAACCTTCCGTCCCCAGCGTTGAGGAGGCTTAAGGAACAGCTACTCTTCTCAGAAAACTCCTCTCAGACCCTCTGAGGCAGAAAATCTCCACACAGAAGGCTGACTCGACTTGTCTCCCTATTTGATCAGCAAGGCCATTCCCGAGAGGAAACCCGGGGAGCTGTCAATCCAGTGGGGGGCCCTGAAACACCCCTTTCTCCAGGAGTTCCTGTGTGCTCAGACGCCAAGGTTTTGGGGTGACTGAAAGGCGGCCCTCCACAAGGACGGCAAGAGGGAGGCAGCTCCAAGAAAGCAATTACAAGGCAGTGCCGAGGCGCCCGCTGCCGTCAGCTGTTATTTCCCTGTGTTATCAGCGGGCCCCAGGAAGCCAGGCCTCCGCCACCCCCTGGTGACGCGGACGCCGCGCCGGGGCCGCAGCTGCCTCCGGCGCAAGGCGGCGCCTTCCCCTTTAAGAAGCTGACTCACGTGGACGCTGTGTTGTGTGCGCTCAGCTGGGGAGGGGGTGGGTCCCAAGGCTCTCCGCATTGGGCGCCTCCGCGGAGAGGGCAGAGCTTGCCTCTCTGATTGGCTGCATGACACCGAGTTGTTGGGTCAGGGGCGGGGCGAGTTGCGGGGCGCTCGCCCTGGGCCTGCGGCTTCTGGGAGGGGTGGGTCAGGATGAGCTAGGCAGCAGGGGTGGGGGAGGGTGAGCCCCGAGAGGGGCGGGGCCCGGCGGAAGGGGCTGGGTGCCAGGGGAGGGGGCGGAGTCTAGAAATGAAGGGCGTTCTGGGCCAACCCGGAGAACCGACTCTTCGAGGGGCGGGGCTTTGCTGGTTGATTGACACGGAGGCCCAACCAGGGAGAGGCGGGGCCAAGGCCGGGGCCTGACTAAAGCTGGAGGCTCGGGCGGCCGAGGGGCTCACACCCGGCCGAGGAGCGACGAGCCGCAGGCGGCCGCGGATCTCTCGGCGGCTCCGGGTGAGCGCGGCGGGCGGGGGCTGGGCTGGGATCCCGGGGAGGCCGAGGAGCCCCTCCGGGTCGGCTTCTTCGAGGCACTCGGGGCCCGGCCCGGGGCGGGGGGCCCAGGCAGGAAGTGCCTCTTCCTCGCCGGCTCCCCGCGGGGTCGCGGGCTGCGGGGCCCTCGGGGCGGGTCCCCCGCGGGGGCCGCGGCCGACGAGCCGGGCTCCCTCCTCTTTGTGAGGCCCGGGCGCGGCGGCCCGCCCCCGCCCCGCCGCTCGGCGCCGGCCCCGGCCGCGACCCTCCGCCGGGCGCCCGGGCCCCGCTGCCCCCGGCGGCTCGGGCCGGCCCCGCCGCGGCCCCGGGGCGCCCACGCCGCGGCCGAGGCCTCGGACGCCCGTCGGGGCGGTTGGGCCGGCGCCCCTCGGCCTAGGCGGCCCCGCCTCCACGGGCCGCGTCCCCCCGCGCGGCGGAGGCCCGGCCCCCGCCCGCCCGCCCGCCCGCCCGCCCGCCCGCCCGCCGCCGCGAAGCCCCGGGCCCCGCGCCGACGGGGACGCTGCTGGCGCCGCGGCGGGGCCGTCCCGGGGCCCCTCCCGGGCCGGGGGGCTCTGGCCGCGGGCGGGGGGCGGCGTTCGCTTTCGTTTTCCGCCCCCGGGGCTCGCGTCCGCTCCCCGCGCCGCAGCTGCCCCGGGCCGAGGGGGGCGGAGGGCGTGGCGGGGCGCCGGGGCCCGGGCCGCCCGCTCAGCTGTTTCCGGCCCGTGTTTGTTGTGCCGGGGCGGCCCCTCCGCGCCGCCGCCGCCCCGCCCGATTGGCCCGGCGCGTCACGTGGGCGCGTCAGCTGGGCCGGCGGGTCCCCCGGGCCCGGGCGGCCGGAGCCCCGGCCCTCGCCCCGCGCGTGGGGGGCGCGCACGGCCGCCGCGGGGGGCTCCGCGCCCGTGGGGTGGGGGGTCGGACGGCGCGTCCCGTGGCCAGCGGGGCCGGAAGGTGAAACACTGCAGAGGCCTGTGTAGTCCCCGCACCTGCGAGCCCCCTTTCGAGGGAGTCTGGACAGCGGACAGCTCATTTATTTTTAAACTTTTTCTGTTTGCAGAGCCTTGTTGGTAATCTGAGGATTTTTATCCCAGTTCTCCTTGACACGTGGAAAACCTGAAGTAACCTCAGGCTCACCTTGTGTTTTTGGATAATTAGATTTGCCGGTGAAGTAACTGGGGGCGGTGGGTGGGTAGCGGCGTGCAGGCGGGGAAGCTGCCGGCCCGCAGAAAACCGGGGTGCGGCGCAGGCTCCCAGGGTGCGGGCTTGTGCCAGGTGCGCCACAGCCGTAAACAGTCCGCGGTTATTGCATGCTTGCACGGGGTTCGGTGTTAGGTAAGAAGAAAATGACAAAGAATGATTTTTTTCTCTAGAAACTTGGAATTTAGTAGAAAGTTACAAATGAAAATGAGTAAAATGTTAGTAAATTATGAAGTGAGGGTCTTAAGAGCTGAGAAATGGGGCCACGAGAAATGAGTGAAGAGTAAATGAGAAAGCAATCTGAAGAGGAATGGTATTGATTAGAACTAGAAAATGAAGGCCTTGGTTTCAATGGGCTTAGGCCTATGAGGGAAAACCAGTGAGAAACTGTTTAGTAATAGAAAGTGGAGCTTGTGGAATTTGGCACATAAAATGTTTTCCATATAGCCTTTGTCTTTTTTGGGTGTGTACTGGAACACCAGGTAGAATGTACACACTCCTTGGAAAGGACTGATGTATTATCACACCCTCACCCAGCACCAGCCCCAACGCAGACATGCTGGTGGACTTTTTTTTTTGAAGTTTGGCAAACATCTATTGGAAAGGGACATGATGAAATGTAAAATGTACTCAAGTTATTTAACTCTTTATAGGGGATATAAGTAAATGGGATTTTAACAACATTTGTAGACATGCTGGTGAAATGCATGTGGCTTCTAAATACACATAGCTTCTAATATTTGGTTGGATTACTGAAGACTATTCTCTAGATTTGTTATTTGCCTTTCTCTTTTGTTCTTTTTAAGTGGTAGGAAAGGAATGACAGATTTAGAAACAAAAAGAGAAAGGAAATAAGACCAAAAATTAAATCTAGAAGAGGTTAAACATACTGCCCTTCATAGAGACAATCCATGAGACAGGAAGCTACTCCTAAATATATCCTTGAGATGTGAAGATAGTCCTAAGGATATTCGTGCCCCGACATTATTTTGGATTTTATAATACCTAAGTGACTGTAAATCAGTATCAGTTTTTCTGAAAATCCTGCATAGTGCTTTCTGGGTAATGTAGGAACTGAAACTGAGCTATGATGTGAACTTGATACTTGACACTTGAATCAGAAAACCATACAGTTAAATTATACTCCAGTACATCCAGTTAGAGGCTTTTTTGATGCATGATATTGCACAACAAATGAGAGAGATCATTGCCAAATGAGATTACCAACTCAGATTGCTATAGCTGACTCACTGAGTTACATGACTAGTCTTATTTTCTAGTGATGAGTGTTAACAAAATAGTGAATTTGAGATCTAATTGGCTTTATTGTTAACTGTAAAATAAAGTCTCAAGAATAGACAAAGTTTATTAAATAATCAAAATGAGCATTCCAACCAGGGAAGCAGACCAGACAGATCTTACTCTCTGAAAACTGTTAAGAGTAAACATAAGTTTGTATTTTGTTTATACAAACAGGAGGCAGTTACATTGAGAATGCAATTATTCTTCATAGGGACATCCAGCTTTAAATTGTGCGGGTCCAAAAATTTGCTGATGTTAAAGGAAAGAAATGCTGGATCTGTTTTCCTCCCTTCCCACCCTGCAGAATGCAAAGGCGTGGGCGTCCACTGATAAATTTTTTTATCTGTGAAGACTGATTCATAACTTTAGGCAGTAGATTTTGCATACAAGATGAAGCCTGTGAAGATGGCTTCTTTGGCTGCCAGACCAGGGGCAGGGTCCCCAGAAAATTTCACAATCTGTTCACAGTGATCCATCAATCCAGCAGCTTCCCAGCGAATGAACAGGAGGGGTATATGGTGGAGCACTACAAAATGGAAGGTTCTTAGAGGCAGAAATGGGGCAGAACAGGGAGCTTCTTAGCAAAAGAAGGTATTATTTCAGGTAAGATAACCTAACTAGCATTGATCTGGAAACTCCAAACTGATTGGTTGGCTATAAATATTAAGTTTTGGTGTTTGGCTTAAGTGATACCATTTTGAGCCTGTGTTCTTCCCCCTCCCCCCCCATAAATTATGGAAATATAGTAAACTTGGAAAGAATTTGACAACAAGAAGCCATAACTTGGCAAGAACAAAAATATAAGTTACTATCAGATGAAGACTTGATTCCGCATTTGAACACAACAAAAGGAAACTAGGATTGCAAGCAGAAAGCAGTTTTCTTAAGTCATTGAGGCTTTAGCTTGGTAAATATTTTGTGCATAAGTTGGAAAATTAGTCGATCAAATTCAATTTATTTTTCTTTGTAGGTTCTCAATAGAATTTAGCTACAAATCAGTAAGAAGATAGTAAATGAGATTACAGTAACACTATATGTTAATTATAGTAATCAGCAAACACTTAAAAGTCCTTTGGGTTTTATTCTTTTGTTTAGAGAAGGAAGAAAATGAAAACTTGATGGAAAAGTATGCTTCCATGTTTTCATTTTAGCAGAACTACAGAATAATCCCACCTTTCTAGATGGACAGATTCCTTTAACCCTTTCTACACAAGGCTTCTCCACCCTGTTTCCTGCAAGAAGTCTTTGCACTGTCCTTTTTGCTCCCGCTTCCTTCTGCAGTAGAACTGCCCCTATCATCTGTCCTAGGATAGCTTGTGTGTCAGTGGTCTATGGAAATGTCATTAAGGGAATAATTCACAAAGGGAAAGTCTGTGATCTGAGTGTTTCCTATCCAGAGGAATTACAGATACAAATCATGATACCTTTCTTCTCTTCCCTGCTATTTTTGAGACTGAGAAGCAAGATGCTTTCTTTGGTGAGTTCACTTCCCAGGTTTGAATCTGGAAAGGGTTATTATTTACTGGGAGAGCAAGTACCTATTTTAAGACCTAGAACTATAACACTTAAGAATTTGAGATACTTTGGAAGGTTTTAACTGTCTTCCTGCTGTAATTTCTGGCACCTGACTACTTAGCTTTGCAATAATTAATTGGAGACAAAGTCAGTTGCTATTGTTTGTGTCATATCCTTTCTGAGACTTGCTTTCTTCATCTGTAATAGGAGGAAGTTGGAGTGGGGAACATAGAGGGTCATCTAGTTTTAGTAGGTTTTCTCTTTGTTTTTTTTTTTGTTTTTTTTTAGCATTTTCTGTGTATTAGACACTGGTAGAATATATTCTCGCTAATTCTTAAAACTCTGATATGAATACTGCTATGGCTATTTTGCAGATGAAGTAGAGGATATCTTAGTCAAAGTAAAGTATACACAGTTTTAAGGGGCAGAACTAAAACTTGTGACTGCAGAGTTCGAATATCTGGGTTATAGTGTTTAAATCCTAGGGGTGGGGAAAAAACAGCAGCAGCTGGGTATGTATTACCTATTTTTATAATCTTTTTATAGTTGATGTTAACATGCTGGACTGAACTACATTTCAGAAGATTAAGAATTTTAGCTAGACTATACATGAAAGAAAGGGGAGTGGGATTAAATAGACTTTGTCAGATATCCCTGTGAGGCTGGAGGATATCGTGAATTTTACAACTGGTCTGGTTTCAGGGCAACTACTCAAGCTGCCACTGTAGTGAGTGAACAGCTAAGTGTATGTCTGTGTCTCAGTAAAAACTTTATGGACAGTGAACTTTGAATTTAATGTAATTATCTTGCATTACAAAATGTTGTTCTCTTGATTGGATTTTTTCCCCCAAACACTTAAAAATATAAAACACATTCCTAGCTTGTGGCCCATACAGAAACAGATGGAAAGGTGAATTTTGCCCACAGATCTTAGTTTGCTGATTCCTGCTTTTAAGGAAAATACTTAGCATTGAGTCAAACAACAAGAGACCCAATTTCATTTGTTTGTGTGTTTGTCTGTGTGTTTGCCAGTACCAGCAATGAACAAATGGGATTTGAAATTAAACACATTACCTTTACATTAACATTCCCAAAAATGAAACACTTAGGTATGAATCTACAAATTTATGTACAAATATGTACAATATCGCTATGAGAAAAACAGTAATACTCTGAAGATGAAAAGAAAAGAGCTAAATGGAGAAAATATTCTATGCTCACAGATAGGAAAACCGCACTATTCTCAAGATGTCAGTTCTGGGCCTCCCTGGTTGCACAAGGGTTAAAGTCTCAGCTCTATCAAGCTATCTCCAGCCATTAAGGCATGAGTTCATCCTCTGTCAGGGAGCTAACCCCCATGGCTCAGCAGACCCCTCCTGTCTTGCCCGCTGCTCCCCTCAGCAGTGTACTTCGGTCAATCTGCCTGTTCTGTTCCCCACTCTGTCTCTGGTGAATCCTCTTACCCCTCCCCTGCACCTCTGGCCTACACCCCAGTTCTTGTATGCATAAATAAATTAAAAAAAAAAAAGATGTCAGTTCTTACTAGCTTGATCATTAGGTTTAATGCATTCCCAGTCAGAATTAACTTTGTAAATATTAACAGATTCTCAAGTTTCTGTAGAGCTAAAAGATCCAGAATAGGAAAAACAATGTTGAAGGAAAAAGCTCAAGACTGGCACTTAGAAATTGACAGCAACTTACATTTGTTGAAAGGGTAAGCAATTGAAAATCATTACTAAAATATCTATGTATCTCTGAATTTCCTTTGTATTTTCAGCTTGGCTCCTCACTATTTCCAGTAATTTCAAAGAAATAGTATGTTCCTGGTTAAACAACCAAGTTTGGTACTTTCCTCATTTCTACTTTTTCAATAAATTGGAACCAAGAGAAGCTAGTACCAAAGTTGGTGTGTGATTGGAATTCCTTCCTACCAGAATAGAGAGTATAGGAGGATCAGCATGGAGTTAGAAGGGGGACCTGATAATCTGAGGGAGGAAGACAAACTGGCAGCCCTCTCTGGTCATTAGAGAGTAAGTTAAATGGAAAGAACTACAACAAGATTTAGATCAGATCCCAGCTCAGACAATTTCAGAAACTCACACAGTTTTTATTTCTTCCTTACAAATTACATAAATACCTACTTTAGAAATTGTCAAAATTAAAAGTGTGTCAGGTACCAACTGCAGTGTTCAGACACTACATAATTATCAGGTGTAAGGCAGCATTCATTATATCATCATGGTCAAGAGAAGTCTGATTCAGGTATTAGGTTTTAGATTTTAAATTATCTTCTCCGTTAAATAATACAGTGTCGTTCTGATTGGTACACGCGTCTTCATTATCTCACATAGTGTAAATCCTGTAAAGCTAAGGCTTAACCCCTGTGACCTTGCAAAGGTCATTCTACCTCCTAAAGACCTTGACTGCAAGTAATGTTTTGCTTTTCTTAGATTCCATGGCAATCTAGCCCTTCATCTCTTTTGGTAATGAACTACATTTTACAGTTTTATTTAGTACTCTATAAATGGCAACCACAACTAGAAATAGTGATTCTGCATAGATATTTTTGGTCTCAGTAATGAATCATGTAATTGAATTCAGTAAAAATACTTGGATAAAAGAGAAAGAAAGCAGACTGAATTTGAAGCAGAGAAGAGAAAGGCTATTAAATTTATTTACCCCATTTAAGAATAAAAAGCTTGCAAATATCCAGTATTAAATGATCATAGCCAGATTACAATTTTGACCCAGATAAATAGGCTGATAGATACCGTAGGTGTAACATAGGCAAGTTCATTTTGAAATCCAGTACATTTTCCACAGTGGTGTGTTTCCCAGGGTAAGTTAAAAAACATCTCTAGTTACTCCTGCATTGTTGAAATAAAGTACAATATTAATATTTTATTTAAAAGTTAAAAGAAAAGTTGGTTTTAAAGTATGGGAATCCCAAAAGCCCACACAGGAGGCTATATAGGCAAATACCAGTGTCCATAGAAACACAATCTGTGGGCTACGTTGGTGAGACTAAGTCTCAATAATCACAGGTTTGTTGAGTGCTTTATATATTTATATAATATATAATTTATTTGATTTATTTATAGCAAGAGTCATGAACTCAAATATATTGCAGGGACCAGATAGGAGTAGAACTTGGGCAAGAGACTTACTCGCACAGGGCCTTGGAGCTGCCCCTCATCTCCTTCTGAGACTATATGCCTCCTGTCATCAGATTACCCCCTCAGCTCAAAATACAAACTCTTTAATGAACTCTCCCAAGTGTTAAATGGCAACTCAGTGGTTTTATAGTAAGAATAAAAGTTGTGTGGCTATCTAAAGCAGACATGTTTTGTAAGGAAAGGGTTTGTTTTATTCCCTGCTGTATCCCAAGAACACTAAGTGAATTCAGCTTGCAGGCCTCAAACTTGCAACTCTGACCTTTTTGTTACAAATACTTTGTTCTTCAGCATCTGAAAAATGTAATGCTATCTTGTAAAGGCTGAAACTTTAGGCAGTAAGTCTTGACTTGTTATTTTGCAGAAATAAAATCAGAAAACTGAATGTTGTACCTTAAATCTTATATTTTTATCCAGGGTCTATTCATTGTCACTTGTTAATGCACTGCTTTTCCTTTAACTAGCTACAAATTGTAATTATAGTTACTGTTTATTTCATATTAAATTTCCTCATTGTAATGTTTAATGTGAGTCATAGTGATCTTCATGATAATGACATTGTTGATGACATTAGGACTCCTAATGGCTGAGAAAGTTCACAGATGTAAGAGAATAGAATTTTTTTTTAATATGTGATGACACTTCCCCAAATTTAAGATGACAGTGGAGTCTTGTTACAAGCGTAAACTCTAGATTCTTTTTTTTTTTTTCCCAGAGTGGCAACTATTTTAGTTTTGCATGCCATTTTAAAGACATAATATTAGCGATTTAAAACACATGCTGATAACAACACCCAGGAATAAATTCTTCTTTAAATGAAAGCTAATATATTCTTGACTAAATCTAGATCTTTAAAAATACCGTTTAAGGAGATTAATTGCAATGACTTTAAGGAGTTGCATATATTAGCTCCTCTTGAAATACTGAATTTGTTACAGAAGTTGGAATCAAAGGTTTTTTTCCCCCTCAGTGTTACAAGCACTTCTGTGATTTATTGAATCCATATGAGTGTTAATTTAAGTAAGTTATGCAATAATGGGTTGTCTCCTGTTCTGTCCGTTTTGTTCCTCGCCTTATGTCAGGCTTTCACCATCTTGTATGCCCTATTCTTTAGAGGAGACATTGTAGGGTAATGTGAGAATTTTGGCTTTGAACTGGGTGAACTGCATTTCAGTCCAGATTTTCTGTATTTGAAAGTTGCATAGCCTTTGAACAGTTAATAACCTTTGAATAAGCTAAGGTTGTCTCATCACAAAGATTTTGAGCACCTGTTATCGTGCTCTAGAGACTCGGTAATGTCAGTGCCATCACCCCCCCGCGTGGTGGTAGATGCACCTGATGGCCAAAGGCCCACTTAACCCATACTCTCAAAGCAGATTTTCCTCTTTGTTTTCTGGTTGCCCCTTTTTCTACTCTTTATCATCTACTCGTACCCCACAACTCTTCTCTCAAATTACACTTACGCAGAATGTATACTTAACACACTAAATCTCCCCACCCCATGCTTCTCATCAGTTTCTGATAGTGTACTTTCTTTGCTTTTTCTTACCAACCAAAAGAAGCGACCATTCCTGGCCTTGCCTAACTAAGCATTTTTACTCTCTTGGCTCATTGCTTGTAAAATGTTCTTTGCTCGGTATGCCTAAATATTTGTTCAGTGTGCGAACTTTGGATCCTTTTATTCATTCAGTCAGCTGTTTCACGTATTTAGTACTACACATCAGAATAAATGGTTCTCTGTAACATCCACCAAGCAGACAACTAACAAATGCAGGGTGTTTTTAAATTAATTTCTTGTCCTTTTCCATTTGCTCCTAGGTTTTTAGAACTTCACCTATAAAAATGGGCCGAATTTTCCTTGATCATATTGGTGGTACCCGTCTGTTTTCTTGTGCAAACTGCGATACAATCTTGACCAACCGCTCAGAGCTCATCTCCACTCGGTTCACAGGTGCCACTGGCAGAGCTTTTCTTTTTAACAAGGTTGGTGAGAAACCCTATTTCATTTCCTCCAAGTGTTAAGTGGATATATTTGACACCAGTACCACAATATCCCTTGGAGCTCTGGGAGATTGAGAGTCAGTATGAGAGCTGATATCTATAGAAATAATTGCCTACCAGCTTGTTTTTGAAGGAACCACTGGAAAGTATTACCAGGATGTGAGTTTTAACCTGGGAAATTTAAAGGGTGTTATAAGAAGGGTTGTCTCCATTGCTTCCGAATGAAAACAGTGTAAGAATGTGATAGTGATTTCAGCCTAGAATACTGAAGAACGGCCGGAGACACCCCCATATCCACATTGCTGATTTATCCTTATGGGGAGATGGCTGTGTTGAGCTCATAATACTTGGTAAAGCAAGTGACTAGGTCATATTTAGCCAACTTCTTTTGCTCTAATTCGTGCTTGCCAGTCAGTCATTCCTTTGGTTGTCACTTATTACATAGGTTTGTCAACAGAAGAAGGAACATTTCCTGATTTACAAATTTTGAAGTCTGCCTGCTTCTCTTAATTTCTGCTTTGCTTTGAAATCTGGTAGATATGATTTTGGAATCTGATGCATAATAGTAAAATTGATTTTCCAAATTAGACTAAGGAACAGAACTAGTCCAAGGTACAGCTCTTAGAAGGTCAGCTAAACTTTCCCAGTGGACACCCCTCTGTTCAATGTAGGTGGAGTTCTTCTCTGAAAGAAAGAACTGATAGTGTGTACCCCCTTGATCTTCGTTTACATAAGAGCAGGGGTTGATGACACTGTTACAGACTGCCTGAATTCATAAATAAAGTTTAATGAATCACATTTAGGTATTGTCGATAGCTGCTTTTGTGCTGTAATAGCCGAGTTAAATAGGTACAGCAAAGACCATGTATCCTTCAGAGCCAAAAGTATTTATCTGGAACTTTATAGCAAAGTAAAGTGTAGAGGATTGTTGGATGTTTAGAATTATTGCAAATTCTTCAGATTCTTTGAACCTAATTGAGAACCATATGTTGCATTGGTCTGTAGTAGTCTTGGTCTGTCCAAATCTGTTTATACAAAACATATTTTCAGAAACAAATCTGGCAGACTTTTGAAAGGAATATCTGTTGTGTGCTAACTCTTTTATATCGATAACCTTATTTGTACTCATCATTCAACAGTGAATGAAAATAACTGGACTCAGACCTATCTTTTATGACTCCAAGTCCAAGACTTCACTACAACACAGAAACACAGTATGCATAGATAGTGTGGCTTGGACTAGTATATAATACATACTTGCATTAAATGTCCAGGGCAGTGCAGTTTCCAGATGTTTAATTCAGCAGCTTCTTAAAATAACTCTTGGAAGGGTATTGTAGATTTGACAAAAGTATCAACTGTTGTTGGGTTATTGGAGTTACTGTTAATGCATCAACAAAATATTGAGTGCTTTTTGGTAAATTACTTAACATGCCTTCACAATTTCTTTTTTACGTGTTTCTTAGGTAGTTAACCTGCAGTATAGTGAAGTTCAAGACCGGGTCATGCTCACTGGCCGCCACATGGTTCGAGATGTGAGCTGCAAAAACTGTAATAGCAAACTGGGATGGATCTATGAGTTTGCTACTGAAGACAGCCAGCGTTATAAGGAGGGCCGTGTGATCCTGGAACGGGCTCTAGTTCGGGAGAGTGAGGGCTTTGAGGAGCATGTACCATCTGATAACTCTTGAAGAAAAAGTAATAACTCCGTCTTTTCCCAGGTCTCCTTCACTGAAAACAAAAATCTACTTACATACACTGTCACCTTAGCATCAGAGTCGGATTCATGAACTGCGGAACAAGAAGTTGTGAGAATCTAAGATAGAACCTTCCTTCCTTTTTTTTTTTTTTTTTTTTTAATTTTCTATTTTTCATTCAACTGCAGTGTGTAGAGCGAATATTATGCAGATGCTGTTAATTTTTTCCCTATGTTTACATCTCGAGGCAGAATAGTCTGTCTGCAGCTACGTGATGGGCTTATGTGAGGGAAAAAATCTGGGCGATTAGTGAAAAGGTGTGTAAATTTTGAAAGGAAAAGTGTCAAGAGCATGGATTTTTAAACTTATTTGGGCTTCATTTTAAAACTTTTTTTGAACCCAGTTATTTCACTTGATTTGCTAGTTTCAGAGAAAAGATCCGAATTTGTGACCAGCGCTAAAGGTTCAGTGTTAGTATGGCTTGTGCTGGCCATTGTGCCATATTCTTGTTGGAGAAGAACCGTAGCACCAGAGCCCATTCTTCCTTGTCAGACTTGACCCAAAGATGTCACCGTTCCTAGTTAGCTGTCACCACCTAATTGGTGTTGCTTGGAAGCTTTTCCTGAAGTGGGGCAGAACTGCTTGGTTGTCTTTTCCATGTAACTTAAGCATAGTAATATAAATAAAGTAATAGTTGGATGTTTTTGGTCCTGTGTTGCTTTTAAAAACAACTATGAAAAAAGTATTTGACAAGTACCTTTCATAGTAGTGTTTCTTTTTATTTCTTAAGCTAAATTGACTGTGTATAAGCTAAATTGTGTATATTTGTTTAAATTAAAGCAAACTGTTTAAACCCATGGTATTGCATTTAGAAGGCAGTTGAACCAGAATGTCACTATGCATCCATGCAGAAAGCATTTCACGGCATTTGTTTTAAAAGAATGGGTGGGGGGAGGGAAAGAAGTAGCCTGTGCCTGTCTAACAGTACTGCTTTATAAAGCCTTTCAGCCTTTCCTCCTCAGTTTTGCATTGATTTTGACAAGTCTGTAGAGTCTAATAGTTCCATTAGTGACTAGTTTTCTTATTAGCATTATTTCCTCAAATTCCCTCATAAGTTCAGCTATTGGAATTGAAACGATCCTTGGTCCCTTCAAGTGGAAAGGGATCAAATTTGACTCAGGGTGTTATTTTAGCCCAAAATTTACATTATGAAGTATTAAAATGTAAATGTCTCCTTAAACTATGTCAAGGTATTCTAGTATTTGCTTTTGGTAGAATAACCGATGTTAAAATTGGCTAATTACTTAAATGAATGAATGGGTATTTGCTCAATCTAGATCCTTGTCCAGGAAGATTTGCCTCAATTTAATTAGCAAAATCTTTGTCTTTGATATTTGAAGTGATTTGAGTACATTTAAGATTAAGTTTCTTTTATTTGCCTTTTGGCTCTTGGTTAGAGGCATTGGTCTCTGATTAAATAGGTGTATAATACTGCGTTTGAGATATGTAGACACAAGTTCTCTTTCCTTCCCCATAATCTTCAAGCATCGAGAAACAACACTCATTCCCATTTCCATATCGGCCTTTGACTACATGCGGAATCCGAGTAGCATGCCTTATCAACAGCACTATGTGCATTTGCTGTCACAATAAAGTATATTTTGTCTTGCATTGGTGCAATACTGCTACTTATTTCCACTAATCCCTGTCTAATGGTCATCTTGTTTTAATTTTTATACATGAACACACATACCTTTGAATAGCTATAGCTTTCTTCAGTTGTCAGTGGTAAGGTAGCATTTGGCTTAACTATCTAATTTGCATCTGGAGATACTAAAACTGCCATTGAGAAGATACTGTGTCAGACAACTGTAGTGTGGTATATATGGACAACTGTCATATCGCTAGGCTAAGTTTAAATGACTACAACAACAGCGTGATCCTCTATGCCTTTTAAAAACTATTCCAAAAAGCAATATGGAAAATGCAGTCAGAGTAGATTGTTTACAGAGATGCAAACACACTATTCATTTGAAATAGAAGACCACTTATGAGAATGATTTTGCTTGGGGATGGGAAGGTTAACCAAGTCTACGTGACAATCCTGCCTAATTAGTGGATTACTGAGTGTACAGATAAAGCTTTTCCCTTTGGCTAGGACCTCAGAATCCTTTTTGAGTTTTAGTTATGTGACCAGGACAATGAGTCATATGTTTTGTTGGTAAATGACATTTATTTAAAGAGACCCTACAGTGAATGTTCTGGGTTACATTTTTGTTAATTATGTAGTGATTTAAGTTACAATTCTGAGCTGCTACTTAGGGATTGGAGGGGACGAACAGCAGTAGCCTGTTTTCTAAGTCTACCTATTCCTAGAAGTCATGTGGGATAGTTAAATGCAGAGTTTGGGCTCAAGCCCAGGCTTAAATCAGTCCACAGCTAGTTTTGGATTGGGTGGAATTCCACTATTGATTGTGCAATAGGAACATATTTATGATCATTTCCCCAGCAGGTGCAAAAACACCTCACAGTGTAAACAAATATGCACTATTGGCATGTCTTTTAAACCCCAGAACCTATATAAACCTATATAAAATGAAACTTTGGATCTAGGGAAGGTGTGAATTAATCTGCAACACTAAATAGACTCCCAGATTGCACTGATACGAAGATACAGAAATGAAACAGCGAAGGAGAAATTAGGATGGATAGTCATCCTAAATTAGGTGTGAAATGTATGGATGCTATATTTGAAATCAGAAGGACTCCGTAAACCGAAACTTTTCTATCAAAGTGTAAAATACCTTCTAAAGCACACGACTAAGGGTTTGTGATCAGCTGTCTTGCCTCAGCCCTCTTGCCTGCATGTGACTATGCGGGTACCTTTGTCTTTCTCCTTTTCCTAATTGACCTGTCCTTTTAAAATGTAGCACGAGTTCGATCCCTGGCCGGCCAGTGAGCAACCCACATGGCGCAGCAGAGCTCTCCTGACTCGCCCGCTGCTCCCCTCAGCAGTGTACTTCGGTCAATCTGCCTGTTCTGTTCCCTACTCTGTCTCTGGCCTGTACCCCAGCTCTTGTATGCATAAATAAATAAATCTTTAAAAATAAAATGGTTAAAAAAAGGTTTGTGATCCTGGACATCACTTTTCAAATTTGGGTTTTTTAAATCTTAATCTACTACTTTTCTCCCCAATATTGAATTGATCTCTCTCAGGTAGAGCCAAGAAACCAATTTTCTTTTTTTTTGCCAAATGCAAAAATAATTTTTCTGCTAATATATGAGAAACACTAATCAAATGGTTATTCAAAGTCAATGCCTTGGTAATGTTATCACTTGGTAAAAGCAGGTGATTGTCATAAGACACTCAAGGCCTTAGTGGTGTGAATAAAAAGAAACATGTTTTTCTACCTGCTTAAAAACAAAAATCCAGGGCCTCCCTGGTGGCGCAGCGGTTGAGCGTTGGGTTGCGAAGCTGCCCGCAGCCTCTGCAGCGCCGGTTCGATCCCCGGCTGCTCCCCGCCACCGGAGGAGGGTCCCATGTGACGCACAGACCTCTCCTGCCGCCCGCTGCTCCCCTCAGCAGTGTACTTCGGTCCTTCTGCCTGCTCTGCTCCCCGCTCTGGCTCTGGTGAATTCTCTCACCCTCCCGTGCTCTGTACCCAGTGCTTGTATAAATAAATAAATAAATAAATAAATCTTTAAAAAAAAAAACAAAACAAAAATCCAACAATTAGGTAAACATTTTAAGGAGAGGAAAAATCTGCATCCAGAGGAAAGATGCATCCAGTTTTAGAAAAGATCATTAGTCTAATGCTGATTCAGATTAAGTGGCTGTTGAATAGAAAGCCTCTTGGCCTCTGAAATGTGGTTTTCTTAAATATAAATAGTAAAAACAATCCTTAGTTGGTTCTAGCAAAAATTGTGAAATATTTACATAAGCTTTTTGATGAGTATTATGCAATGTATGGGATAACTACTTGTTCTCAGCCCTTCACAATTGAATCATTTTGCTCTAAACAGAATGACCAGAATGTTTTCAAAGTTTTTTAAATTCTTCCTGGTTTTGATGTGTACTGCTAAACCTATAAGCAAATTAGGGCATGAAATCTTTTTATCAAATATTACCCCCTTTTATTTGAAAAAAAGATTGATTTATTTATGCATACAAGAGCTAGGGTATAGGCCAGAGGTGCAGGGGGTGAGAGGATTCACCAGAGACAGAGTGGGGAACAGAACAGGCAGACTGACTGAAATACACTGCTGAGGGGAGCAGCGGTCGAGACAGCAGAGGTCTGCTGTGCCACGTGGGTTGCTCCCTTCCCGGCTGCAGAGGCTGCGGATTGCTTCATAGTGCCATGCTTAACCCCTTGCGCTACCAGGGAGGCCCAAATATTACCATCTTGACCTTTGAGCATAAGCCATCTTTCACAAGCTACTAAATTGACAATTTACTTTGCTCTCAAAAATCATCAAAGCTCCTGTTTTTCACCTAGGGACAAGTAAGCCACAATGAAAAGAAATAAAAATTAATGTCTCCATTTCCCACCTTAGTTGTACTTTTATCCCAATCAGTTAACTTTTAAGAATCCTGCAAGAATTTCCACTAATGCATATTGACTAGTTACGTTTTAAGCCAAATTTTCTTTTGTGTTTGTGGCAGGCAATTTCATACCATCGTGTTAACCGGGTTGTTAAGGAATTCTGTGGTGGTGGTGAAGCATGGTGACCTGAGATAAGCAGCCTGGGGAGCTTAGTAACAACCTTTTGTTCAGTTCCCAGTAGGCAACTTAGTCCCTGATAAGAATCTTGCTTGTTAGAACATGTGCCACCGTGAGGCAGGATGGACCTGAGGGGGTCCCATGACTACTGACCCTCTACTCCTTGGTATGCAATTATACGACTCACGTCTTGGTATGTAGCCACATCATATCTGACCATGTACAGCTGCCAAGGCAAAGCCACCTGGAACCTTGTAGAAACTGCCCCTGACTTCCCACAAAGGGGGTTCAGCCTTGGGATGCGAGCCTGCTGAGTCAGCGCCGGCGCATTAAACCTGCTCCTTGTTAGCTCTGGTGTCCACTCTGGATTTAAAGTACTAAGACAAATTCCACTGAATAATTTTTAAAAATCTAAAACTAAAGCCCAACTTTCAAAATGGTGGTATTTGTGTTTGTCAGGATGAACCAGAAGTTTTCAGGGAGGGGTGTAAATAGTTTGAGAAACCCCACTGCTGTGCCAGTCAGTTGGAGCTTGGCTCCTGCTATTCCCCAGAATTTCACCCAGCTGTTGAGGCACCCTGGGGTGAGCCATAAGTTACCTTCTTAGCTTAACCCTCTCTAACCCATGGCCCTTCCAGGGGCTGATGGGCAAAGTGGAGGCTTAATACTATGAACCATGAGAATTCATGATTCTTTCTCCCCTACTAAGCCATCTTTCCCCCAGGTTATCAGTTAACTGGAAGTTGCCCAGAGGCCCTTCTAAAACCTGCCAATATGGCAAAAGGAGTAAAATGAATTTTAATCCCTTTCCTAAGTAAATTTTAGAGAATGGTGCTTAGAAGCTGAGTTTCAAAGGTTGGGGCAGGGAAGGGTTGGTATTTTTAAGGACTTGAGTAACAAGGCCTAAAACATTTGAGTGGTCCTGTTGAAGTTTACACTGACGAGTTTTTAAGACAGAAGAAGCCAACGCTACCAAAA